TTCCTTTCCATCTCCTCTTGTTCTTCCAGATACAGCTCTTGGCGGATTTGTTCCTGTTCTTGACGCTTCTGTTGTTCTCTTTCCATAGTCTCAGCAACCTGTTACAGGAAGGAAAGGTTTCTAAATGAAAGACAAAAACATACAACAATTTTTTTCTACAATTTCAGTTTTTAATACCATGTTTTGAACTTTCTGTTTTTTCTCCTCAGTGTCTCGAACTTTAGCCATCCAATCATCTTCTCTTTGTCGCTGCATGTTGGCAAACTCCATAATTTTCCTATTTTCTTCTTCCATCTCTTCCTTTTTCTTTCTCCTCCACATAGCTTGTTCCTTTATAAATTCTTCAATATATGTCTGAGTTTCTCTCACTTTATCTAACTTTCGTTGTTTTTCCCTGTAGAAGATGGGAAAAAAAAATGTTCAAATAGTTTACTGTTACTGTAGAGTAACATTAAACTGACCTCACCATTAATATATCCCAGAGACTAAGATTTAAATGACTGTCCTTAAACATTCAGCTAGAAACTAGACACCTAAATTTAAAATACCTATTACTGAGCTGCTGCAAGAAGGGAATCTCATGTCTAACATCTTTCAGGAGTGCAGACTGTTCACACAGGTCCTCACTACTACTGCATTTTACACACACTCCATCAAAGAAGAGAAGAAAGTCCACACAACCCCTAAACTTTTTATTTAACACTAAACACTCTCTCACACCCCCCCCCCACACCACCCTGCCCTCAGAAACCTCGTTCCCTGTCCCAGTCCATAAGGCAGGAAAACAGAGAGGTGGCAAAAGGTGGCAGGGTAGGGACACAAGACTGACTGGAGCATTCTGATGTTTCAACAGGAAAATTCACACAAGTCAGTCTCTTGTCAGCAAAATGTTGCCAAGGAAAACTAAAATGGGCCTTAGTCTCTATGGAATAGATGCATACAAATCAGCTTCCTATACAGAATGATAGAAGTTGTTTTGTTTTAAATTAACAAATAATAAAAGTTCAAAGTAACTAACATTTGGTCTTCTTCATAGATCTTTCTTACAATCTCATCAATCATGAGTTTCTCTCTCAGAAACTCTTCATAGGCCTTCTGCTTCTTCCTCTCCTGCTCCTCAAGCTGTTTGTCCAGTTCCTGATGGTACATTATCTTCTCCTGGTTGCGCCTCATTTCTGCAGCAAGTTCTTCTTGCATTAACCTGTCGTGCTCTTCCTTCATCTCTTGGGCTATTTCATCCTCCCATTTCTGGGGGGGAAACCAAAGCAAGATTCCTTTTTACTCCCACTTCTACAACAGGTAGTGAAGAAGCACACAGTATGGAAAGGAATTGTGCTGCATTACCAGAAAGGAAGGTTTTCCACCTCAATCTATAAATACAGACCCTTAACATGCTTAATAGCTTAATGCAGTCAGTGGTACCCCTGAAGGGAAGCCTCAGGATCTAACTTGAGGAGCAGTAAAAGTGCAGCCTTGAGCACCAGAGGGACTTGCTCACATCAGCTTAATGGCTGGAATGAGGTTGGACTGCAGAAAATATCCTCCCTCCAGCATGTTCTTTACCTGCCTACACTAAACTCTGCATAAGACATTAACATAACCAGAATCACCTCTCTGATCACCCACATTATTCTGTACATCAATAAAAATTCACAATTCTTTCTGAAGTTATCCAGATACCTGTTTAACAATAGTTAATGTTTTCAGCAGCTGGACTCTGAAGTAAGGATTCACCACAGTAAGCATTAAGCACTTACTGTACAAAGGGTACCTAGTTTTAACTTGGATACTACAAATACTACAAATCTAGCAAAATAACAACTACAACCAGTCATACAGCTTAATTCATTACTCCTTTGACTCAAATGGCAAAGCAAACCTTTTTCTTGTAGCCAGTTATTACTGGTTAATTAATCCTCCATAGCACAAAATGTATTTTCAACAATGCCTAACCATTATTTTAGCTAAAAAGGTCAGCTTTGAAGGAAAACTTTTCAGCACAATTCATACAAGGAGTTGCAGGACTTGGGTGCTGGGATTCACTATGGAGCTAATTACCAGTTTCTCATCGTAAAAAGCTTTTTTTTCAGCCATCTGTGCATCTCGTTCTTTATTCATATAGGCATATTTTAGCTTTCTTTCTAACTCTCGAAGTTCAAGACTGGAAAGGGAAAAAAAATAAATTTATCCTATCACAAGGAGGTAAGTACCTAGGGGGACAAAATTAAATTTCCATCACTATTAAACACAATTTAAAAAAACCCAACCATACATCAGGGGAAACCCTGATGAAAAATATTGCTCTAGTTAAAGAGTAGAAAAAGAAAAAAAATTAATTTTAAAACAAAAGTTACCTATATTTCTACACATCTATCAGCAGTTCTGCACACTTCTCATCTAACTATATAAGTACAGGTATACAGACATACATGTGTGCTCACAGATATGCCTAAGAGCATGTAACATACATGACATATATATACATATAAACATAGACATGTATGCAAAACAAACACTTTGTGGATCGGAGTTTTTTCTCGTGTTGAGAAAAAATTTGCTTAACATTACCTTTTATCATACCTTGACCTCAAAATAACTTTCCCTTCCAGGTCCTACTCATTTCCGATTCTGCTACAGCTTCCCCAAACCACGGTACCAGTTCGATACAGCCGGGAGGTTTCTGAAGCGATACCTGTTGGCTCTGACTTGCTGCCTGAGCTTCTCGTCCTTCATCTTCTCGAGGTCCCTCCTGGCCATCTCCGCCGCCAGCTTCTGCTCTCGCTCCAGCTGCAGCGCCCTCTGCTTTCTGTTCTCCTCTGCCTAATCAGAACAAACCACCCCGTAACAACTCTCAGCACAGACATTCGGGAGGCAGGGACTGTGCACTTAAAGGCCACACCAGTCAGCAAACGCTTGCTAAAGGAGAAGGCCTTTGGCGGGTGAAGGTAAAGCCAGATGAACGCCCGTCCTTGGCCTCCCCGAGCGCGGCTCCGGCGCCGCCCCCGCTGCTCTTACCGCCCGCAGCGCCTCATCCAGCCGCCGCTCCCGCTCCAGCTCGGCCCGCAGCCGGGCCGCCCGTTTGTTCCACTCCCGCTCCTCGGACGCCTGCGGGCGACAAGAGAAAGGCTCGCCATCCCGCTCGCTCCCTATCCCCTTCCCTCTCCCCGCTCCCCTCCCGCTCTCACCATCCCGCCGCCGTTGCCGTGGTAACGCGCGGCGCTGCCGGGGAACGGGTTCAACTTCCGGGGTGAATGGCCCCCGCTGATTGGCCCAGAGGGCGACCGACCTGCACGTGACTCGGGGTGGGCGGGGCCAGAGCCGCATGACGTCACCGCGAGACCTTTAGAAGTTGATATTTAAGAGCATTTCTTGAATCGTTAAATTAATGCACTTGACTCACCTATAATACCCACAAATCCCAGGTGGCGGCGTTTATTTAAGAACTGCTCTAACTCAGTTTAAGTCCCTGTTACGGTGGGTCCCCAAGAGGTGTGGGAGGTACAGGCACAGGCAGAACATCAACCGTGGACATGAACCACAGACATCACCAGAACAGACACTGTACACGATTCTGTAACGGCGCTTGGCACACAGTATGCTTTACTCAAACCTGGATAACCCAACCAGCAAAACCCAGCCCTTAATTCTTCTAGAGGGAGACCCTGCCTGGAGAACAACTGTTCACTCCAGAGTTTCTCTGGACTGACTTCACCCCAGGAAGGGAACCAACATTGAGGCCTCCAATTCCCCAAGCTCTGCCCACCCACTTTCCTCACCTTTATTTTCCTTTCTACATAGTTATGTGAAACTAAAGACATTTAAGCTTACTTAAAGCAGTATTTCAAATTCATTACTGTCACCTACTTTATAAAATTAATTAAAATTAATGAATCTTAAGAGAAGAACACCTCTGAGAATTAGGTAAAAAGTCTGCTTGTTTGTATTGATGCAGTGTGATGTGCCTATATCTTATATATGTGGGATAAGAACACTCATTATTTTAAACCAGTTCCTGATCTTTTACAAATTTTCCCAAATTGGTGGAATTCTTTCTGATGTGTTGGTTACTCTTCGCCCTTTTAATGAGAAAAGTGTTTTCCCACAAGGGGGAGTAAACTACAGGAGACCAAGCCTTTAATAAGATGATACAAGCAGAGAGAGAGGAGTTAGAAAAAGATCATAAACTTTCCCTACTTGTTCTTTCCAAGTGGTGTTACCACTACAGCTCTCTTCCTTAGGAAAAAAAAAATAAATAAATTCAACAGTTTCTTCAACAGTAGGCAAGGAAACACATAAATGTCAAAGAAACCTATCCCCCAATGATTCCAAGGTGCTGACTGAGAAAGAAGGAAGCTTTTAACTACTCTGGCACAGCAGTGACTTTCAGTGCTCAAGGTCTGGAGGTGGCAAGGCTGGGCGGGATAAAGGTGCAAAAGATGCTTTTGCTGCCCTTTCTCCCCAGTAAACAGCTGTGTGCTTCACTGGAAATAAATGGAATTTTCCTTCTTACCAAACAAAAGAACAAAACGAAGTCCACTCACCTCACTTCTGGAAATAACAGCAAACAGCCTTCAGATGTAAAATTCCATCTTTGCTTGCATGATGTGCTCATTTTGGAACAGCAACACTCTAAAATGAGAGCACAAGCAAACCTTGGTTCAGTCTCCAGGACAGCAAGGCACTCAGACAGAAAAGTGGGAGTAAAAATGCTTGAACAAAATACATACCAGAGACCAAGGAGTCAGTTCACAAAAATTTAAGAGATGGCTTGTATTTGCATATAAACTATTTGTGAGCAGTGTACCTGTCACAGAAGAGACAAAACACAGAACAATATCCAGAAAGATTCCCAGTGGAAAAATATGTTGAGGTTTTTTCTAGTCCTTGGAGCCTCATTGTTCTTTAATTTCCTGTATATTCTACATTTTCTGCAGTGTGCTTAAAATACAAAACAGGAAAAAAAATGCAACCAGAGAATTCTTTTATCCTCAACACCTTATGGCAGTTTGTGGTCAGAAACTCTTACCTTTAATGCCCTGATGGTTTTCCCCAACACAAATTAAGCCCCAGGGACAGCTCAGGAAACAAACTGTGCCTGCAGATTTCCAAAGAAAGGGAAGTAACCTTTCAGCACATACAGTCAGTCCATGTAGAGAACGGGGAGGGGAAAATACCCCAAAAACTTCACAGAAACACCCAATATACCCTTACCCTGTTCTCCCATTAAATTGAATACTTTGAGAGGGAAAACAATAATTTCCCTCAATTCAGATGCAACTGCTGGTCTCATCTCTTCTTGAGAGCTCCCCCAGGAACTGCAGGCTTCTGTCCTAAACTTTGGGCATCTGTTTCCCACTGTGCTCCTCAGCAAAGAGCTTGGCTTAGTCCTCCTGGGGCCCTCCCCACAGCAACCAGGGGCTGCTCCCGTGCCCCAGGGCTCGGGCTGCCCCTCCCTGTCCGTGCTCTCTGCCAGGGGTGCAGGAACACGGGCAGTGCACCTGGGCAGGCCCTTCTGTGCTGGGCTGTCTCTGCACATCCCATTCTCCTGCCCAAGGTCATCCCAGCCAGGGGATCCCTGCCCACCTGAGGGGGAAGCACCTGTTTGTGCTGCTCCTCCCAGCCGGGCGGTCACAGCGAGTCGCTGCTCCCTGGAGGGAGAGAAGAGCTCCTCCGCTTTTATTTGGGAAAAGATCAAGCACTGTGTTGAAAACAGACCTACCTTTTCTTCATGTCAAAAAGCAGAGCTCCTTGATGACACCAGCTAATTTCTCAAAGACCTAAGAATCTCACACGTGCAGAGCAGAGTTCAGTCCAGGCAGAGTTGCTCCACTCATCTGAGGAAAGAGAGTAAAAATGCACTGTTTTAACAACCAGCTGGATCAGACTCCTTAGAAGTCAAGTATATTTACATTTAAATTTTCTTTATTAAGTTTTTAGAATATATTTTTATATATATTGAGATATGTTAATACATGTATATAATGAAATATCTACTTTACCATAGTTTGGAAAGGAATGAGTCCCAAATTCTTGTTCCATACAGCATTTCTTCTTGCAGCAGCCTGGTTACAGCTCACAGGTCAGTGACCTGCTTCTCATTCCTTTTTCCTAAGGGCATTAAACACTTTCAGGGCCTGAAAAGCTTCAAGTGACCAGCAACCCACTGTACAAATGTAGAGTTAAACTCAGCAGTCCTTTCTCAGGGTTAACACAGCATCTTAATAAATGAACCAGTTCTCAGTATCAGCACCCACTGAAGAGCTCCCAACAGCAGAAGCAAAGACTGCTGAGGAGTGCTAATGATAAAACCCATGGAATGGAGCATTAAGGGGAAAAAGTAAGTTCCCTTTATTTAGCAGTTTAACTGAAGGTGATGCAGGAGCACACAGCAGAAAAGGTCATTAAACAAAAGTGGTGAAGCCATTTTGCAGGTTTACCTCTTTTCTAGGGCGTTTTACCAGATGATCATAACAGGAGACAGTGACAAATGCGTTCCAGCTGAGATAAGATATGTAGGTCATGCTGACTTTGCAACATTATAAACCACTATTGGGGATAACACAGCTTCTCTGTGAGGTAATTTACCTTCTTTGGATGAAAAGATAAATGTGAATTAACAGGGAAGAGTCTGAAACATCTGAGCTGTGCTATTGATCTACTAAAGACCTAGATAAGTCACAGAGAAACTAATGCTTGCTTTGCTTGAGAGTAGTGATGGATGGGAGAGCAGATTTAGCAGCTAAGGGGCTATCACTGTCAACAAAGTCTTAGCACTAATTTTTTTTTTTTAATTATCCTGGAGTAGTAGGGAAATATGTCCCATAGCAGCAGTAGGCAAAAGTGATCTTTTACTCATGACATTGTGGACTGTAAACAAAAATATTAAATGAAACAAAAATACTCAGTGCTTCAAATGTGTTCAACAAAAACACATCTGTTCCTGATGAGCCAAACGTGGGTTTAATAATTATTTAGCTGTAGGACCGAGTTTTCTTTTCCTGTGTGTTTGGCACCACATTTGGTGATTTGAAAACAATTAGAGAGCCATGTCCACTGTGCTCTTTTTAATTCAACTAGCAAACACCGGGGAGACTACAATTGCTTTCTGCACCAGGCTTTCTGCTTCACCTCTAATACTTTGTTTTAAGCATATGATCTAGGTACAGCAAATGTATTTCTTCTACGTAAAGAATGGTGTAAAACTAATGCTATGATGACACTTCTGTTTTTGCAGCAAGATCTTTACCCCTCTATCTATCCTAACCAAACTCTTGTTCCCCGTGAAGCAGAAGAGAGATCATAAGTTCAAGCAAAAGGACTGAGTTCTTACTTAGGAAAGTGAATGGTGATAATTTTAGCAGAGAATCTAAATGTTTATGGGTATAAAAGTTCCGTTTGTAAAAGGTTTTAAAAGAAGTTGTATCTATTTTCTCAGGTGTGATACAATTATAAGTCAAAAGTGCCGCTCAAAATAACAAGCTTCATTTGTAGCTTTTAAATTGGAAGCAAAGATTTCATTCCTACAAGATACCACCAAACACAATTAATCCCAAAGAGTTCAGTTTAACTTTAGTGAATAATTAAAAAGCTGAGGAGCTCCAAAGGGGAGCTCAGCAAAGTGCAGAAAACTGGGAAGAAAGATGCCATTGGCAAACAACAGAGTATTAAACAAACTAATCTGTAACCATAACCTTAAGCCAACCAAGGGAAAGGGCAACTGAAGGGCAATAACAGAAAACAAACATCAGTCCCAGAAAGGGCTGAGAGCAATGTGAAAGTCGTTCTGCTGCCTGCATCCATCTCTCACCCTGGCACTTCCCCTGCCCGGCAGCCTCGGCAGAGCCCCGTCATGAGCCCCAGGCTGGTGGAGGCTCTGCTTCCCTGCCCCACATGGGGATGTGTCTGGAGGAGTCCTGGGGCATGTTTAGTAAAATCCCTGTTGTTTTATTCAAGAGCTTTTAGAGAGGAGAAGAGCACACAGCAGTTACTGATACATTTTGGTGCTGATAGAACAGAAATTTTGTGCTCCAATAAAAATTCATCAGTGAAATGGTGAATTGCCTCTGTATTGCTGTGGACCAGACAAAGCCCACGGATTCCTGTGTGAAGCATTCCCAGTCCCTCACCTTTCATCATGGTTCACTTTCTGGGGCCCTGCATGCCAGGTGTGTCCCAAGGGCACACCGATGTGTGGCACTGCATAGCTGGGGGATCACAGCACACCTGTGGCTGCAGACAGGCAGGGAGAGGCCTTTTTCAGTGGCTGTGGCTCCGTGCCACGCTCCCTGCTGCTCTGCACACCTGGGATCTGCTGCCCAAAAGTAGGGCTCACCCAGTCCTGAGAGCTGCCTTTGCCCTGCACCTCACAGCTGCTCTCTCACTAGTCTCTTCCCTCTGCTCTCACTTGGAGCAGCACCCGGATGGTCACTCATCTGTGCAGGAACCTTTGGCAGCTTTTCCCCAAAGCAGCGTGTGCTCTTGCTCAGCACTTGCTCTGGCAGCACCAAGGGGACCCAAAAATGCCCAGTGTTTCCCTAAGACAGGGCTGACACACAGTTCACTCATCTGCCCTCCCTCAAACTGTCATAATTATATTCACAGCATCACAGAGTGGGTCAGGTTGGAAGGGAGCACAGTGGGTCATCTGGTCCAAGCTCCCTGCTCAGGCAGGGTCATCCCAGAGCACATGGCACAGGATTGCATGCAGACATCCCACATACTCTATTCCTAACTCTGACCTTCACAGTGCCCTTCAGAGATGAGGAAGTGCCTGTGCCACACTGCAGGCACCTGCCTGCTCAGGGTTGGACTGGCACAGTCTTACCCACAGGCTCTGCTGTGCATCAGTCCCTGTGTCTGCTTCAAAGTGCTCATGTAAGCCAAGCTCACTGTTAGTACCAAGATGATTCCAGAGTTGGTACAGAGGCACCAGCTGATTCTGGTTTCAGAGCTACTGCAGGAAAGTATCTCCACGTCTCCACTGAGATGAGGGAGAAAGTCTTCTCATTTCACTGAGAAAATTTCAGGTCATCCTATAGAACTTTTAACATAAAAAAGACAAGATTATGGAAGGATTTCCACCCGTAAACAACATTTGCTTCCCCTGTGATATCTTAGGACAAGTTTCTAACTTGAAATCAGAAAACTGCACACACATGTTACAGTAACTACAGAGTTTGGCTCTGTGCTTATGCCCTGCAAAATAAGGAACCTAGTTTTGAAATAAACAGTTGCACTGAAATTATATTTCTAGACTTCAGAAATCAAACCTAATCTAATTTGCTCCAGCTGGACACCACCTGCAGAGTACTGTTTAAGTACTCTGAACATTACGCACTTATCTTTTAAATATTGATAATGCCATTTTTCATTTATGTGACATGAAGTCCCACAGGGAATAATTATGCTAATAAACCTTAATGATTCTTGCAAATAAATGATCAAACAAAACTGCTACTGTTGATTTATATTAATGGATGCCTTTAGGAGGAGATTTGTCAGGATGTGCTGCTTCTTGAATCCCAATTCATCTTATTTAGCAGAAGAATGTACATAGTTTGTAAAACAGATTAAGTGTTTAAAATATAATGTGTTCATGCAGTTTCTGGAGTTCATAACATTCAGGCACTATTATCCTGCCTTATGGCAAACCTGCATTAAATGGCTTCTTTGTATACAACTTTTGTCAGTCCTTCCCCCCTCCCCTCCTTTTGTCCCTTGTGGCCAAAAATGTCCTCCTTTGGAAGATCTCTAACTTAACCTTTCTGTCACTCATTCAACAATCACTTGGCTGTCCTAACAGAAGAACACTGCTGTTGAACAACTTTAGTTTCACTGTGATGAGTCTAGAAACATTCTTGGTGCTTTAATAAGGACACACCACCTGAAGCTGGTGACCTGCAGAATTTTATAGGCTGTGTGGAGATGAGCAGTTTCTACTCTTCTTCCACTGCCGGATATCTGGAAATTCTCACTCCCAACCACCCACTTTTGAAATTCTAACCAAGTTCATTTGGAAAACATCTTACATGGGCTTGGCCTTTTAGATAACATGTATGTTTGAAAGCAATACCAATGTGCTTCTTTTACTCCTGAATACAGGCAGGACAATTTAAAAGTATCACAGGAGAGGAAGCTAAGGAAATAAGAGGAGAAGGAACTTTGAGTTAGTGATGATAGAAGAAGAGTTAGTAGTGATAGAAGAAGAGAATAAGCACATGCTTTGTCTATCAGCAAAACACACAGATACAAGTGCAAGGTGATGGTGGATCAGAGTTAGAACCAGGCAGGGAGCTAAGCAGAAGTGTGCTTGCTCTGCCTCTGCAATGCTCTGTGCTCAGTGGTGGAAGTGGTACAAGTTGCCTTAATTCTTGGCTTTAAAAACTTTGTTAAACTGATGGACTCCAGCGGGATAACAGCAGAAGGAAGGCACGGCGTGCTTTTGCCTCTGAGGCAAATTATATGGTTAAGTAATTTGCTGAGACTTCCATCCATACAGAGTTTTTCAGGCTTTTTTTTTAACTTTTTCCCTCCTCCTGCTTGTCCAAAAGTGCAGTTTCAAAGAAGAGCTAAGCAGCCCACTATGCAAACATTTTCTTTTTCTCGCAATGCAACCACCTCCCACGGAACATGACATTGCATCCACAACAGGCTGGCATTTCAAAGTGTTGTTAATAGATTTTACTAACTGAATAATACAATCCTGAAATCCAGCTGAAACGTGGCACTAATTCACTCCATGCACAAGGAAACCAATAACTGCAGCACAGAGATGAAGGTCTCTAATAACGCTCTAGAAAGAACAGGTGGTTTGAATTATTTCTTCAAAGAGGAACATTGCTCAAAAGCCCATCAGGTAAAGCTTTTGCTTTGCAAACCTGGGGCTAATCTTGCAGATCCTGAAAGCAATGCAAGTTTAAAGCACTGAAGGGCTGCATTATTCAGATTAATTTTCTTTGTGGATTGATAATCCTCAGGTTTGTCAATTCCACTTTAAATGTTGCTATGAAAGTCTTTCTTCTGTGATTCAGAATCACAACCCTGCAGTTGTGGAGTTTGCCAGGCCTGCATTTCTGTTA